TCTTTATAATGAAACATGCAGCTGGTCAGTGTCTACAAGTACTGACAATGTACACGTATGTTCAGAAACACGTATTGTATTATGACATAATTTATCACAATAATGATATATTATGATATAATTTATTACAATTATGATATATTGTTTTTAGCTTATGCCTGTAATAACACTAGCAGCCATCCCTGTAATTCATAATTCATTTCTACAGATAACAGTATCCTATATGCGTGTAATGATTCAGTCATGCAGTTCACACCATGCTGATTGGTGGGATATAAGCTTCCTTTACTTGTTAGCAACATTAGCCTTGTAGCTCCAGTGCTAAAACTAATGAAGCAAACTTCAGACATCAAACAGGTCTTGGCTGATTGATTATATTTGGGTAAAGGAGGGAAACTGTAAATTTGATTTTCCACCAAACTATCGCTTTAAACTCTCTCTCAGACAAACAAAAGGGCCGAAGTGAGGTTGTAAAAGGGTGCGGCTCAGCAGTTGTGCTCATTTTCAATCAGCACATGTGCTCTGAATACTGGCACGGTCTGGAGTCACGTCTCACTCGTTCATAAATTCACCCTAAATGAAAACAGAAAAATCAGAAACTGCATAAAAGTCCATTTCCATTTCCAAATCGGTCCTTTGAAAGCCATTCATGCTCATTGAGGTTGAATGGCGCTGTTTTGAGCGCACGGCTCTGTGTAATTGATTTTCAGGCCGTGCTGTGGAGAAGCAGGAGTAAAAAGCTGAGATATCTGAGGAATTCTAAGGACAAAAGCATTAGCCTGCTGGGCCAACAGGGGGCTAGCCACAGTCTGCTCCAGGCTGGACACTGGAAATCTTTACTTGGAGAGTTTTCAGCTGTGAGATTGTCAGTCAGTTCAGTTCAACTTTACTGTTATCATACATGTGTGTACAGTATAATGAAATGTGTTCAGGCCACGCAGCATCACAGAGACCAAAACCTGTGAGAAAAGTTATCACTGCAGTACAAAATATGTGCAAAACCTTTTCACTATAGTAAAAAATCATGTCCAAGCATTATCACTGCAGTGGACAGATACAGTATTTAGCCCCTCATTCATAAGTCTCTAGTGACTCCCCTGGTGCAAACATTATCATTACGGTACAAAAAGTATGTAAAAGTTATGTCTGCAGTGTAAAAGTGTGTAAAAGGGAAAGAGGAGCTACTGAATACTAAGTGTTGCTGCTTTAGTGATACTTTGGAAGTAAGTAAAAGTATAAATTAAAAGAAGAAAACTTCTCAATTAGCTTAAAATTTGCTATAGAAATAAGGCTTCGCTTGAGCATGTGCTGAGTTTACTGGCTACTTAAGCGAACATGTTAGCTTAGAATGTTAGCTTAAATTTACTGGCCCGAAAGGCACGCTTGATAATAATATGAACGCAGTGACTTTAAAAAAGAGCTGTCACGTTTGTTATTCTAAAACAACAATACAGAAAAGACAGAGTAAAAGAACACAGTAGCTGTTTAGCTAAGATTAGGTAGCCAGTCAGCTAATTGCTTCCTCAGGCTGTAAAATGTGGCGAACTTTGATCGTACTGTAAATGCCCCCCTAAAGGGTGAAAAAGTCCAGTATTGTAAAGAGTTTAAAGTAATGATTCATCAGTTTCCACTTCTGGTAAAATTAGGCTAATCAGGCTGAATGCTGGACTGAAACCTTTTACTGAGAGGGATCTCAGCCGGGAGATTGTTTCATGCTTGTGCTTAGATGCTCATGACTTGTGAAGTAAATATAAATGCCTTTTTGTTTGTTTCCTCTTCACTGTGTTTTGATATTTCCCAGAAAACAGTCTCGGTTTATTCTTAGGCTTTGGCCTTGTTTCCGTTTGGATTTGAGGCAGAAACTCTGTGACTGAAGCCCAGGAGTTTACTCGTCTGCTCAGCTATCATCTCAGTCAGCAACACACGCAGTCTTAGTAAGTTGATCTAGGCTTAGTAGGCTAGGCTTGACGGTATACATGGAGAACGTAGTGTTGAACCGATAGTGTATCAGTATAGTTGTCGATACTGGCACTTAAATGCTATATCGGTATCGGTGATACATGTGACTGATAACACAAAGCAGTTTGTGACGCGTGCGTACGCACCAGTAGACAGGACGTAAGAACACGTCGGTAGTGTGGGATGACAAGCAGCCATAAAAATGCTCATGGTAGAATCTGTAACAGCAGTTTTTGGTGTTAAGAACACGCTAACAGGGCTGCTTAGCTGTCACTCGTCTGCCGCTGGTCACTTACAGTCTGAGTTAATGTTATTGAGGAGCTGAAGGAACTCCTGGACTCTCGGCGTAGTGATAGCATTTAGCCTCGTTTTAGCCTTTAGCATAGCAGACCGCTACCTGGGCCTGTGCGCCTACGGTGCGCCTCCGTCTGTCAGCTGTATCACTCAGCAGTGGGGTCTTGCAGCCCTATCACTTCAACCAAGCCAGAAAAACACTGAAATTCGCTGATACTGGCAACATGATCGACGGTAATATTTACTGAACTGACGCTCAGAGATGCTGCACGAGTGAACAAGAGGCACATATGAGACTAATGACTTATTTTGGATGTAAAACAACATTCAGCTCCGTTTTTGAGCCAGAGAAGCTGCTGAGTGCTGATGTGTAAACAGAACTGGTGAAACTGGATACCCAGTTCCACCTTAAATGGTGCAGCAGTTACTTTCAGGTGTTCCAAGCACCAGAATGGATCTGCTAAATGATTACTTAGGGTGCAGTGGAAAAATGTGTTCTAAAAACTTCTTGCTCAATCTTTGTTCTTCAGATTTTCTCCTTTTTGGCTGCTTCTCCTTCTCTCCTTCTTAATGATACGTGGAGTTCATCCTGTAGCCCCTCCCCTCCCCTCCCCGCTGTGTACGAATAGGAGCGCCCCCTGTTGCTGATTGGCTGGAACAGTGTTGTGTTGTTCGGTCCGAACCACTTTGTATATTTCCCGTTTACAGAGTTGGGGCTGTGTACCAACAGCGGATATTTTCCAGCATGCACACAGAGCGGAGAGCTAGCAGATCATGAGGAGACATTTACTAAATCTGATCAAAAAGTATTGGATTAAAATCGAATACTGCACCTTTAAGCACTGATCACAGCAGCTTGGCAGTATTCACCCCACGGTGTTTCATCCTCTGGGGATTTACCTCCCCGCAGGCCGGCCAGGGTCAGGGGGAAAAGTCTGCTCTCTTCAGGCTGAGCGGAATGCTAAATTACACACCGCTCAATCTTAGCTAAATTGTTTGCAACATGAAAGAGAATTCCCGATGAAATAAACATTCAGGATGAATAATTTACTCCTGCACACACTTACGCACTCCTTCCAGCGCTCGGGTGAACTGAGATAAGCACAGATCTCAGGTATTTTTTCAGCGTCCTGCTGTAAAAATCACTAAACAACTCTAAACACTGTTGTTTACATGAACGTCAAACAGAGTGAAAGCGTTCTCCTCTTGTGCTGTTTATCTCAGTGATAAAGGATTTGTTTGGAGTCACGAAGCATAAACAGCTTTGGTGGAAAAGATGTACATAAAATCTGAAAGTTTTTCTTCTCGTTCTGAGAAGTTTTCTGATGACAGAGATGGAATATTTACATACATGCATAATAAATATGAGACATTATTACAGCATATCCAGTGCAAAAGCCAGAGACCATCCTTCATTAATTTAATTTCCAGTCAAAATGACCATTAAATACACGTCATTAATTTTTCAGTAGATATTTCTGTGGATAATAGATATAAGATAATCCGCTTGCATAAAGAAGGAGAAAGTCAAAGAAAACAAAGTGAAAAAAATGGAGTTCAAAAACTGATTAAAAGCTCCAGCGAAAATGTGGCTCCTAACAACCACCTGGAAGACCTGGTCGACCCCAAAACTGCCCCCATCAGATAAACAGCACTTAAAGCTTTCATCTCTGAGAGAGAGGAGAAAATCAAGCTGCTTCAGATCTGAAAACATCCACAGGTGTTTCTGTCCATCCTTCCACTGTGAGAAGACGACTCAGCGATGTGGGTCTGAAAGGATGTGTAGCTGTCAAGAAGAACCTCAATGAGAAAAGGAGACGGACACATCAAACAAAGAAGCTGAACGATGGACTGACCACCCCAGAGTCCAGACCTCAACACCACTGAATGTGTTTGATTACTTCAGTACGGAGCCCGTACTTAGTAGGGCGTGGGAACGAGATAAGTAGTGGCCACAACTTAGGCATCAGAACAAGATAATTAAGTTGTGGCCACGAATTAGTAAGGCATGGGAACAAGATCGCAATGCATGGTCACAACTTAGCAAGATGCAGGATCAAGATAATTGAGTCGTGGCCACGACTTATTAAACCATGGGAACAAGATCCTAATGCGTGGCCACGACTTATAAGGTGTGGGAACAAGACAAGTCATGTCCACAACTTAGTAAGGCATGGGAACTAGATCCTAATATGTGACCACGACTTAGTAAGGTGTGGGAACCAGATCATTCATTTGTGGCCGCGACTTAGTAAGGTGTGGGAACAGGGTAATTAAGCCTTGACCACAGCTTAATAAGGCATGATCTTGTTCCCATGCTAACTCATGGCCACGACGTATTATGTTGTTCTCATGCCTTACTAAGTCGTGGCCACACATGAGGATCTTGTTCCCATACCTTACTAAGTCTTGATCAGAGCACACTGGGCTCATCGGGAGGCGGGGCTTAAAGACACAGGAGCTCTAACAGAGCGTTTCAGACAGAGGGTGAATAGAGATGCACAGCATGAGGAAAATAATGTGTTTTTGGAACATTTAAGTGTAAATCTGTTCTAGTAGAGCCCAAAACATTGAAAATGAACATAATAGGTCCCCTTTAAAAGACCCAAGATGGCATTAGAGCAGTTTAATCCTGGACTATGTTTGTATGTGCTTGTAATTGCGTTTGTCCAGGACTCACTAATCCCAGGATTACATCCAAAACTAATCATTCCTCTGCTTGATTCTTTCTCTCTTTATATCTGCAGGTTTGCTGATTGGCTCTGGATGTGCCCTGTATCCTCTTGGCTGGGACAGTGAGGAGGTCAGACAGACCTGCAGCAACACCTCCAACCAGTTTCAGCTCGGTAAGAAGATCAAACACAGTGACTAGCCTCTTTCTGCAGGCTCTCTAGTGGACATAATGCCAGCAGAGTGGATATTGATGCAGTTTTTTAAATATAATAAAGCACCTTTTCCCTATAACTCCATCATCAGATGTGCTAGGACTCTGTTGTCTCTCTGTGTAAAGTGTTGTTGAGCTGCTAGCGAGCAATGAGGGGTGAAAGGGCAGGGGTGAGAAACCCTTCTGAGAAAAGCAATTCACACCTCTCCACAAAGATGGCAGGGCTGAGATAAAACAGGCCTCAGCTTTCTTCATATCAAACATCCCAGTATAACAAAGTATAAAAATTGTATATTGTATATTGTATGAACATAATAAAAACACTTTTATAAATCTTGACATACCCGCTGACCTACAATGACAAAAATCCAGTTGCTTCCAATTTTGTAAATGATACACATTTCCATTGAAGGCCTTGGGCCTCATTCACCAACCGTTCTTACGAAGAAATTTCTTCTTAAACCCACTTACGCAGTTTTCACGAAGATTCTGATTCACCAAAGTTACTACCACACATTTAACATACTGCTGAATGAAGCCCAATGTTATTGAAAAATAAATGCATAATTTCAGTGAGAGACTGCTGTGAAAGCTTGTTGTTAGAACATTCTAAGATTATTTAACGTATTTCTATATGTTTTACTAGTTTTAAGTTATTTTGTCTAGTCAAAATGTCTAATTCTGCTGGCAGGTAATTGATCTTGTTTTGAAAAATAATGCAGATCATTTTGCTTATTTCAATAAATAATTTGAAACAGGTAAAAAGATCTGCCAATAAAACATGACACTTTTACCAGATAAAATAACTAAAAACAAGTAAAAATGTGTAAAAATAGGTTAAATTATCTTATATAATATTACAATTGCATAATTAGAAATATTAGATATATTGATATTTAACTTGCTTAGATATCATTTATGCATGATATGATATCTATCTATCTGTCTGTCTATCTGTCTGTCTCTCTGTCTGTCTATCTATCTATCTATCTATGTATCTATCTGTCTATCTGTCTGTCTGTCTGTCTATCCGTCTGTCTGTCTGTCTGTCTGTCTGTCTATCTATCTATCTATCTGTCTGTCTGTCTATCTGTGTATCTATCTGACTATCTATCTATCTATCTATCTGTCTGTCTGTCTCTGTCTGTCTATCTATCTATCTATCTATCTATCTATCTATCTGTCTGTCTGATTATCTATCTATCTATCTATCTATCTATCTATCTATCTAAATTATCTTATATAATATTACAATTGCATAATTAGAAATATTAGATATATTGATATTTAACTTGCTTAGATATCATTTATGCATGATATGATATCTATCTCTCTGTCTGTCTATCTATCTATCTATCTATGTATCTATCTGTCTATCTGTCTGTCTGTCTGTCTATCCGTCTGTCTGTCTGTCTGTCTGTCTGTCTATCTATCTATCTATCTGTCTGTCTGTCTATCTGTGTATCTATCTGACTATCTATCTATCTATCTATCTGTCTGTCTGTCTCTGTCTGTCTATCTATCTATCTATCTATCTATCTATCTATCTATCTGTCTGTCTGATTATCTATCTATCTATCTATCTATCTATCTATCTATCTATCTATCTGTCCGTCTGACTGTCTGTCTGTCTGTCTGTCTATCTATCTCTATCTATCTGTCTGTCTGTCTATCTATGTATCTATCTGTCTATCTGTCTGACTATCTATCTATCTATCTGACTATATCTTTCTGTCTGTCTCTCTGTCTATCTATCTATCTATCTATCTATCTATCTATCTATCTGTCTGTCTGTCTATCTATCTGTCTATCTATCTCTCTGATTTTGACTTTTCCTAAACTATTCCTCTAATTTGCCAGTACTTAGTAGAACAGAACAGAAGCATTTACAGTGTGTTTGTGTGTAACTGCAGGTTCTTGTGAAATCGGCTGGGCGTTTTACTGCACGGGTGCCGGAGCTGCAGTTGCTATGCTGGTTTGTACGTGGTTGTCCTGCTTCGCCGGGAAGAAACAGAAACAGTATCCATACTGACACGACACCAGAACCCACACCAGCAGGAGCAGCTGCCGTTACGGACTAATGACGTTTGACCTGCCTTTTGGGATCCAAAGGGTGTACGCCTGTACAGCTCACCAAACCGCACTCACGGCTTAAGGCTGCATCATCAGCCAAATTATACTTAAATCTTAAAGCTAAAGACTCTCGTTTATAAGACCTGTTTTATTTTTGCATTTATTTGGCGTACAATAAATGTTTTGTCCTCACTATGTAACTGAACTTATTCTGCTACAGTGTGTGTTGTTT